TCTTTTTCTTTTCTTTTACCTAAAGAGGATCATGAGAAAGTGAGAAAATTCCAAACGCTGCGAGAGTGCAGACACAATGGACATCCGAATTTTACAAAACGTGAAAAAACATTTGTATTTTCTCATCTCTAAACTCCTCAGACCGTGTTAATATTTAAACAAAATAATTTACACGTCACTCACAGAGCTAGCGCGATAAAAAAATAAGTTAACATTCGTTGAAACAACATTATACATTTATGTCTAAGAACAATTTTTTGTGCTTGCACTCGCGAATCTCTTGCCGACGTGATACTCGATTTTCTCACACAGAATTTCTTGCTATAAGACACAAAGGGGAGTTTACTTCTTGCGGAAAATACTCGGCATGCTGGGCGATTCAGTTTTCTGTTGAAAAGATCTTGTTCATTTTCTGGCGCATATCCTTGGCAGACATTCACCGTCGTCATCGATAGGGAAAGCCCGGATCTCGTCGAGTGTCCTGGAACGAAGATAATTTTTTCGCAAACGTTTAAACATTTTTCGTTATCGAGAAAATATGTACAGGATACATAATGTTTCTAGAAAAGTATTCAATGGTCCAAAGATATCAAAATTCAGAAATATTCAGAAATATTCTACCAAATCTACTATGGATTATTGCGACTGTAGATTACAAATTAGGAATTATTGGTGGCGAAATAAATGTTACTTATTCGGTCAAATTAGGAATGTTCTACCGAAGTAAAAAAAGCGAGGTAGAACAAATTTATTTCACGTCCGAATTTTGTACATAAATTATTTAAACTAAATTCGCGTGTTAAGTGGTTCATCTGTTCGAATATTATTGACGCTGTTTCTTTTTTTAACAGGTTTATTAACTTGTGGTCAAGAAAAATGTCGAAATTTTTTAAGGTTCAATCTATACAATAGGTGTAGTAATCCTTAAGTCCTAAGAAATTAATCAATCATAGTTAATTATTTTCCTCACATTCAATTGTGATTGATCAATTTCTCACAGCAGATCTTAATGGAACACTTAATAAAGTTGTAGGGTAGTATTTCATTGTCGGATCTTTTATATTTAAGACCGGCTGGAGTATAATCTTAAGAGAGAGAGATGTTATAAACTAATCACTCAATTGTTAGATATAACAGAGCCGTATTATCAACCTTAAGCCATTGTCTTGAAATAAGAACCAACTATGTATACTAACCTTAATTTTACTCATTAATTCTTCCTTTGGAATAACGATTGCTTGTTCGTTGCTTAGCAAGGAAGATTTTACAGAAAAATATATTGCTCTTTTTCTTACCTATCCCTGGTAACATTTCCATTGCAATTCTGCTGTAAAACTGCACGAAAAGTCGTGCATTAACTTTCGGGCAGATCATGCGTTTTCTATTTCCAACTTTGACTATTTTTCTGTTGGCAGAAACTTGCGCTCGTCGTAGTGCAACAGAATTGTGGAAGATATGTGTATGCATTTACATGTAACAGAATAGTGCAAGAAATGCGGCAGATGCTTGCGCAAATTGCAGTGCAACATAATCGCACCAGATTTGTAGCAGCGCCTACTGCTACCCATACAGCACAAAATATTTTTAAAATATTTTTTAGGAAGATTAAAATAATTTACAAAAATACTTTTTATATTTATAGCACCGCAGTGGTGTTGGGTAAGCCTTACGTTTTACCATTATGCGCCGCCTAGCGGCATCGTTGCAAACTAGCACATACAGCAGAATTCAACAAGAATTACGACAGATGCTTGCGTAAGAAGTAGAGCAGCAGAAATACAAATAATTTTGGCAGAATATATACCGTACATCTGATTTATCAATCAAACATTTTTCAAAATTCGTAACGCCAAAATGGACCGTATAGGCGTATAGCCTACATCTTACAGCACGAAGCTATAACAGTTTCACAATCTCCAGTTAACCTACAGTAATTATTTCTATAAATATTTATATATAATATAAATTAAAAACAACTTTAATAATATTGATGATAATTATTTACACTTTATTTTAAAATATTTATTATAATCTTTTAGATACTTTTATTTTCCGGACATTATAATATTTACAAAATAATCAACGTATATATTTTCAAAATATTTAAATCTTTTTTTTTTAATATTTTATAAATATTTTATAAATATTTTGTGCTGTCTGGGAGTTTAGCGCGCTCGGCTGTTCTTTTTCTGACGGGCAGATGCTTGCACGCTTTTTTCGCATTTCTGTCACTCGGATCTGTACGGCAAAAACAACAATTTAAGCGACATTATACACTTGTAAAATTTTGCTGCAAATATGTTTCAAGAGTCTAGCACACTCGACTGCTCTTTTTCTCACGGGAAGATGCTTGCACGTTCTTTTCGCGTTTCTGCCGGTCGGATCTGTACGGCAAAAACAACAATTTAAGCGACATACACTTGTGAAATTTTGCTGCAAATATGTCTCAAGCGTCACACTCGACTGCTCTTTTTCTCACGGGCAGATGCTTGCACGTTCTTTTCACGTTTCTGCCGGTCGGATCTGTACTCAAAACTCTGCTGCAAAAAGCAGTCGAGTGTGCGTGAAGAGTCTAACGCGATTTGCTGTTATTTTTCTGTTGGGCAGATACTTCCATATTGTTTTCACATTTCTGCTGCATGTTTACTTTTAACAAATAGTATAAAATTTTACAGTAGCTTCTTACAGCAGACTACTGCAATAGTACAGTAAGTACTTGTTAAACACAGATATTATGCACTACTGTCGCAATTTTTGACTGTTTTCTTACGCACTTCTTCGGGACGTATCTGAACTATCAGACTGTGTTATTAGGGTTATTTCTATCGATATATATCTTGCGAGTGTGAAAAGACAAAAGGTCAGAATCTCAACAGAGATCCGTAAGAATAGTATTATTAAAAACTATTTAAATTTTAAATAATGTAATTTTAAATTAATAATTTTATATTGATGCAATACTATATATATTAAACAACTTCTTTACAAAATATAAGTTTTTTAATATGCGGGAGTTTGAGGTTATGATTATATATTTGTTACTTGTTTATAGGATAGAAAATGTTTTTTTTTTATATATTCTCTCAGGAAACTATGACTTGATAAAACACTTTTGCTTTTATCCGTTTAACGAGGAAACACATCTATTAAAGTGGATGAAAATTTAGTAGTCACTGTTGGTAGGTAAATTATTTATAGTAATCGAAGTATGACCGTTAGTAAAGAATACCTTTAATTATCCATTGAAAAATTATATTGTCCCGTCTAGCAAATGATACTGAATAGACTGGGTTTCGTTTGCCAGTGTTATTATTGTTCTTTTTATTTTACAGGTGTTTCGTGCATACGAATTGGAATTAAATGATCTGCCAAATAATAACATGCAAGGACTTGATACGGATAAGCTCTTAATATATCCTAGATAGTAAAATGTGTTTGTTCTGAATACATATTGTACTCACGTTTATTAAAAACATGATGGCAAGAATAGACACGGATGCGGGCTCATATGTTGTTCAGAATGCAGACATGTTATGAAATCTATAAAAGTTTACAAAATAGTGACATAATGAACACATAAATGATGTTCAATGAAATACTGCATATTGTGTGCATATATGTATAAAGCTCAAAAAATGACAACAATTTATTCGTACGGATTTTTCATTGAAACCTATACTTTAAATTTTAAATATTTCATGCTTAATAAAATTATTTAAAAACATGTAAGTAAATAAATAAGTACGTATCCAACAATTTATCAAAAATTGCTTCGCAGACCTCTGTACTATGTGATACCAGAGGTATCACTTAAGCTGATCTGCAGCATAGAACATTATAATTAGGCTTCTCATAAGTCACAAGCTCATCTCTTATACTAGCGCGTGATGATTTTTGATTACGAGAAAGTGACGCGTGGTATAGCCGCGTCGCGGCAGCGTGCGATACTAGCGCTCGCGGTCGCGGAGCGTCCTCGCGAAATCAGGGCGTCTTCGCGCTTATTGCGAGTTATCAAACATTGCAGTAAACAGTTTGTTGTGTGTGCACAGTGGTCTGACTATCACATTTAATATTAAATTATTAAATTATTAAAATTATTAAATTTTTTATTTTATTAGGTCATGTATATTTATGCAAAAGGGGCGGCAGTGTGGTCTAGTGGTAGAGCGCCAGAGTCGTAATCAGGTGGAAGCACATAAAATTACAGGAGCCATAGGCAGAATGCAGAAGCCATAGCGCATGCGCTATGGTTTCTGTATTCTGCCCATGGCTCCTGGATTTTCAATCTACATAAAAATACACATTCTCATTGTAGCCGGTCTTAAAGAAAAGTGATTAAGAACAAAGAACGGATTTATATTGATTAACACGTAAGTATTCTCATTATTTAATTATCAACGTAATGAAAATACGATCTGACAATGACCGTATATAATTATATTAGTGTGAATTGTCTCAGTTTCGTAAACATAGTGTTTTGAGGTTAATTTTATTTTGTGTGCCGAATACAGCAGCAGCAACGCGCGGCTCAGGACAGTTTGAAAAACATAGACAACGAGTCCGATGCACCTAAAATACCGATCAGATTATCAAAGATTGGTATTCGGATGACGAGGACGACGATGATGATGACGAGGGAGGTAATCTTACTATAGTGGATAGTTCGAAAGACGAAATCGAGCCTATCGAGAAGACGCAAAACCTCGTTATCAAGGAGGAGTTCCAGCCTGCGACATCCGTGTCCAACGT